GAAAACTTAAAATTTAATTAAACTTTTAATTTAAAATTAACATTATACACGTAAATATTTAACGAAGCTCATCTACAAAATGCTTCAAGAAAAGTTTATCCTAATAAGGCCTAAACCTCGTTATAATCGATCAACTAGAAATGATGAAATATAGGACATGTAAGATCTTTCTAAAGTTTTATTTAACAATTAAAATTATAATTAATTTAGCTTTTAAAATAATTATGATGGTAAAAGGTAACATTATATAATAGTTATCTATACTATTATACTATATAAAAGAGATATTATTTTTTATATGTCCCTTTATATTATTTTTACATTAAATTATTTTTCTTTTATTTTTAAAAACATTTTCATTATTTAACATTAATAAAAAAAATATAATTAGACAATGTTCATGATTTACAAGTGGATATGATTCTTGTACAATATTATTACATTTTTTTTATTAAAAAACACAATTATTTTTCAGTCATCATTAATATAAAATTATTGCTTTAAAAGTTTTTTCTTAAAACTATATTATCACGTTAGATATTTTGAAATAAACTGATTTTGAGAAAGTGAGAAAATGATGATATAAACTAAATTCTAACACCACCTTGTGCTGGCTGCACTATTTGTCGGGTTTGACCAAGCAATACTCTTTGTATCTTTCAGAGCTTTCCGTTCTCGTTCTGCAATGTCACACCATCTTCGCACTCTTCAACTACCACCACTCTCCTGGAAAACCCCAACGATCAATACACATTCTTTCTCCCTCCATTGCTTCCGCTTCAGCTTCGGCTTCCATTGCTCCGTCTCCTGCGGATGCGCGCGCCAAATCTCTCCGGTTCGGTTCAGTCATCAAGCGTCTTTGCAAGAGGAAGGAAAACCTGTTTCCCTTTTCTTTCAACCTGTCTCAAGCGAAACCCACTTTGATCTTCTCCTCGACCAGGCTCAAAGGCTCCACCAAGCTGTCGTTGTGGTTTGGTAGGTTCCTTCTTCGTTAAGACTCCTTTTGCCTTTTCTTCAAATCTTTACTATGCTTTTGTTTAGATGAGTCTTTCCTTAGCAACTTGAGAAAAATATGAAAGAAAAAAAGACTTTGACTTCTCTTAACTTCTGGATAAATTAATTTGTAGACATTCTCTTGTTTAGTTTTTCTTAAATTTTTACATTTTAACTTAATTTTAGGTTTTGGTCAAGGGAATTTCGTTTTATTGTTTATAAATTATGGTTTTCTGTTACTGAAAAAAAAAAGGAAAATGATGAAGTAATTTGTAGAAACTATTTCTTATTACTTTCCCCAAAATCTGATTTTTTTCCTACTTTCCATGACTGAGTCTGCTTCCAAATTGAAAAAAAAGAGAGCAAATGTTACATGTTATATAATCTTAAATTGATGGAAATTGGTGCTTGTTCTTCTGCTTTGAGTTGGGAAATCAGTGTCATGGTTTGTAGCTATGAGGATACCTTTCTTCAGGAAAATCTGGAACCTCGTGAATTGTCATTTTGTATTTTTTTATAACGAGTAAATAAAAATAAAAATAAGTTATAAGGTGATTTCTGTTGGTTCAGAGGAGTAAAAACCTTAAAATAACAGTATATCAAAATTAAACTATTTTTATTGTTATTCATGACTTTTTGGATTGTTGTTTCCTTTTTGAAACTTCTGATCTTTCAAGTTTCAGGCTAGGAGCTTTGTAGGGAAACAGAAGTATTTGCCAATCTTATTTAGGGAGAGAGATTTCATCCAAAGGGAAAATAACAAGATATATGAATGTGTATGGTGTAATGTGCTCCTTGAGCCTGGTCTATTGTAATTGTGGGCCTTACAGAAAGATTTTCTAGAAGTAATTGAGCATCACTCAATCTATTTTGTTTTTTCTTTTTGGTTTAAGTGAATATGTTAATCAAACTACATTTTGAGGTAGTGAAACCACGGTTTTTACTTACAGGTTTGTATAGTCCAAATTATCATTAATAATAGCAATTTTTTAATTTGTATTTTCTAAAATTAGTTTATGTGAACAAAAGCAATCTTAATAATTCAGAATTTAACTTGTAAAAATCAACTAGTGACGCACTTGGATAGAGGAGGCTATGTAATAATCGGGCACTGGCTTGTCTGTTTGACAAATGATAGCTGTGCAATTTTTTAAGCACAAATTTTAGTCCTTTATTAGTAGGTGAAGGGCATCTTTGAATGGGTTTCTCCATAATCTGAGTTTTTGTTTTCTTGAATAGATGTATAGTATTGTGCATTACATAAAAGATAAACTTATTTGTTTCATTTTTCTGATTAGTGAATATTTATTTTACCATTATGGCCTTTGAGGTGAGATTATCTGGTTTGTAGGATGGCAAATTGGTGCAGAAAATGTATATATTTAAAACCAAAATTGGAAAAGTTGGCAGCAGATTATTATCCAAGGTGAGATTAGATTTGTTTTCCTCTATCTACAGAACTAGAATAATTTCTGAGCTTATCGATCATTTATAGGTGTGCTTGACCTAATGGAATCCAGACTATACTACATTGACCAATGTGAGGGAGTTTTCTTTTATAATCCTTAACGTTGATTGAAAAGCACGTCTGGTGTTATTTAATGTAGTATAGTCTATAAAAGCACGTCTTGAAACATAAATCTCTTTTTTTGAGCAAGAGTCTTTGGAGAAATTGTGGCATGTTTGCATGCAATCCAGCTTATTTACCTATAAGTGCTTTAACTAGAGGTTTTAGTCTAGGACTTGTGTATTTGATTGACATCACAGATGTGCTAAATATACTAATGAATCTAGATTAGTATTTTAAAGCTGAAGCTTATTAAACTTGCAATATATTAAAGTAAATATGAACAAAACAGAATATTGGGTTTCACCCAAATTCCTGTTTTCACATTCATTCATACTTTACTGTTTTATTGGTAGATTCAAATTGACTATAATAATCTATTAATGCTGAGATAGGTGGAATATTTGTTTTTTTTAAAATAGGAAACTAGGAAAGTTCTAAATTAATGAGTGCGTATGTTTGTTTTCTAAATTTTAAGCAATGAAGTAAGGGAGAGTTTACAACTTTGTCTGCAGAAGTTGTAATAGCAAAGGAAAAAGGTATGAAACTTCATGCTTTCAAAAGTTTGAGAAAGGGTTTGCAGTTTTTTTCTTTTAATAAATTGTGCTGTATATGTGTGACGTGTTTGTAATGCTTTACCCTATTGTACTAATTATCAAGCATAGAATGGGATGTGATATTCTCCGAAAACTAAAATCAAATAATGCCAAAATCTTAAAAGAGCCCCAGGCCTTCTCAACCAACGAGGTCATGCTAATTTCATACCCATGGAATAATAAGATTTTGTTGATGTCCTTGGCAGATAACTATCAGAGATCCTTGACCATTACTCTCCTCATTCCTCAACCTTGGTCTAGCTTTCTTCTTGGCATACTATCAGTCCTATCATGTACAGATCGACAATGACCCAGACTTTGTAGTTCTTGACCATTCTCTCCAGTTATCCCCTCAATCCCAACCTAGTCATTTTAGAACTGGATTTCATACAAGTAACTCACGGTGTACTAGTGCTTAAAGTGTTTCAATCCACACCTATTTGAGAGCAGAATAGAGATCAACCCAATAACTTCAACTGACACTTGAAATCATTAAAGAAGCACTGGTTTTTTCCTTAATTCTGTTTGAAACCATTTCAGACAGCTAACTACAACTAAACTACAAAGTACAAATCCCCTGATAATTTTTTTAGAATCTCTGCAATGAAAAATGGCAAAGCTACATCTGAACCACTTTCATCGAAGACACACAACAACTATAGCTTCTCCCAAGTCATGGAACTACAATAAGATAATTAGGCTTAATTATTTGTTTGGTCCCCACTTTGGTCGATTTCCGTGTTTGAAAAAGTTTCAAGTTGATTTCTGTGTTTGAAAAAGTTTCAATTGGGTCCTAACTCTTGAAAAAGTGTCTCAATTAGGTCCTTTTAAAACAAAATTACTAACGACTTTAACGACATGTCATGTGTCAATTTGTGGTTTTTTTAGTTTTTTTTAAACTTTTTTTGCAAAAACTTTTGTTGTCATGTGTCAGGTCTCTAATGTGATATGTGACACTATCAGTACCACGTGACAGGGCAATGCCATGTATCAGAGTGTCATTGTCTTGATTTCAATTTAGTTCTTATATATGTCTCTCAGATTGAATTTAGTCCTTAGTCCTATTTTTTTTTCAAAATAGAGCTATATTGTCCCTCTCCAAATTGAGACCAAATTTATTATTTATATAAATGTTCTACTGATATACCAAAATCTGAACCACCAATTGTCAGATCAAACTGACTGATAAATGTCACCAGCTACATTATTAGGCTGGGGCATCTAGCCCTCACTAGCAGCAAGCTCTATCATTTCCAAAGACCGGGTCATGACATACCTAAAATGTAACAGAAGGACTTAACCTGAAATGAACATGGGATTGGACAGAACTGGTTCTGACTTAGTAACAAAATGAAAACCTAATATACAATGGAATTCCATGTGAACTTAGTACGGACAATAGATACAGCTCATGGTGGATGGTAATGCTCAAATACTGCCTTCAAATAGAGTAATTGAGAAGCGATGCATATTGTGTATAAATGGTCCATTTTATTCTACCTGTGCTTTAAGCTAAAAATCTAGAAATGTTAACTGTAGATCAAATTGACTGCAATAACTACAACATCAATGTAGCTGCTTGATATTTTGAGATGTGTTTAGTATTATAATGATTGTAAGCTACTCATAAGCTACTGAATCTAGGTTGATGCACAAGATGTTAACTAATACATTACTGAGGTATTTGTATTTTAGAACATAGAGATGATACCTCGCATGTGGAATTGTTTGGTTATGTTATGATATTTTAATTCATACTTTGTTTAATAATACGTGATAAGGCTTATCAACGCATTAATCTAGGATTTGTTAATGTGGATATCATGCAGGTTGCAGTTCTACAGTGTAGATGTTAATACAGTTTCACACAAACTTGTTGCTCGTGCAGGTGTGACTGTGAGTTTCTCGTAGCTTCCCCATTATGTTCTTTCTCCTTCAATTGTTATCTTAGGGTAATGTATTGAAAATTGTCTGATATTTTACATCATGAATTTATCAATGTCTTTCCATGAACAGATGTTGCCATGTGGGTACATCATGTGTGCCTGTTAGGAAAACCTATATTCAAACTCGTTGGATGAATATTTTTAGTTTCCATTAAATTATGCAGTTACATCATATGCATTGTGCTTTGGGAAAATGTTCTGGTATCTTTAATTAATATATTGTTTGGAGAAGACCAATCAAAGTCCTAGAAAGAAGAGTTGATCATGAGGCTTTTGTCTAAATGGACTTTCTGAAAACATGTCAGCACAATGATGTTATTTGAATTTCAATCCATATCCCACTTAATGGGAAAGGCTTTTGTTATGATTATTTTTGTTTGTTCTTTGAATGCTTTACTCAGGAGCAGCTGAGGAAAATTTGTGGTTTTTTTGACCTCTCACTAGCAATATATGATAATTACATTATACCTCTACCTGATTAGTCAAACAATTGATATGCAACCATTTTTATATTCGTTTCAACTAAGTTTGCTATGTAGACATTTATCTTGATACTTATTAGATTCCATTTGTCATGTATTCATATGTTGTCGGCTCTCAATTACTGCAGAAAATGCCAACCATACAAGTAAGCACATTTTTGTTTGATTTGATAAATTTATTATATTCTTCTCTGTCAGTGATTTAAATGTTTGTTGTTGCAGCTGTGGAAAGACAGCAAGAAACAAGCTGAAGTTATTGGTGGCCATAAAGCACATATAGTAATAAGTGAGATTCAGGAGATGATTGAGAATGAGTGACAAGTTTTAGTGAAGTGGACTTATTTTCCGCTATTTTGATATATTTTATTAATTGGTTTTACATTACTGCATTATTTTTTTCCTTTTTATTTACCTAAAACAACTACTTTTAAAGTATCTTACTTACGTTAAAAGGTATTCAAATCCTTATAGTTGAGGTAATGTGAGATATCTCCTGATATTCGAATCTTTGTCTTAATGAATGAGACTTAAAAGTTTATAGTTTCTTCTTCTGAAGGTTTTTTCCTTACTTTCTTATGTTAAACATTTGAGGTGTATGAGATGAGGATAAGTGGCCTGTTGTCAAATATTTGATGTATACCCCAATACGAAAGATGAGAGTTAGAGCTAGTTAATTACACCACGAGCTCTAAAAACAATTGTCAAATTAGGACTGTTCATGTGAAGACCACCTTCAAATGTAACAAGATTGCATGGAGATGGATTTCTTGGTGACCTGTTATCACCTTCTAATGCACAAAGGTACCCTTTGCTATCTTTATCTGTTTTGAATGTTAAGCTCACACGATTTCGAATGATCATAGTCATTGTGAATGTTATTTTCTCTCTTCGGTGCGTAAGTTATTATCATTCCACATGATGATAGGAGAAAATGAGTGAAGGTGGAAATAATATTGGTTGTATAGTTGAAGAGAAATAATTTCAAAAATGGTGGAGCTTATTGTACTTACTCAATATTCATATATTTCTCTTCTGATCTCCTTCCTATTTTTGTCCCAACAAACAACTTTAATTTCTCATTTACTTCCACTCGACCTTCTTATTTCCTTCTTACGTTTTTCTCCCTTGTATATCAAAAGATTAGTTTTCCATTCCATTAAGTGACATGGTTGTTAAGTCTACGTTGCAGGTTGCTAGTGGCGCATCTCGGGTTTAGGCCAAAGGACAACTTGGAATTTGACATGGGTACTTTATTAAAGTTGCATGGCATCCAAGAGAAAGCGGACACAGTTTGAAACCAGACTTAACATTCAAAGTCACAACCAAGTCAATGAATGGCACGAGCATTTGAGTCGTATGTGGAGTGGAGTTGCACCAAACTTTGAACCAAGCCACAATTTTCCTTCCACTCGGTCACAAATCTTATCACCAAACTTATCCTGCAAATCAACCTTATACCTTAGTGTCAACTTCAGCACTATTGATCTGAAGCACTCAAATCTGTCACCACTGGCCTGGAATTTTCTTTGGGTTTCTCTCTCTGTATGACGTGGCCTGAAGAAAGTTAGTGCAATATGGCTACTTATTTCTTCAATTCATTGAAAGTCCAAGTTACAATTCTAATTAGGTTAATGCAACATTTGAGACATAATTGCAAGTTAGAAATTCTAATCATCATTATTAGCCAATAAAGTTTTCCTTCGGAAGCCTAAGGTTCTTCTTCTAAGATTAACTTCATAAAAAACTTCCCCATTTTAATAATAGCCTACTTTCATTATATGCTTACTATTCACTTAAGTAAGATAAACTATTGGAGTCATTCTTCTGTTAATTACATTTGAATCATATAGTAATCTCCATTGATCCTTATGGAAAGTGGGAAGGACTAATCCAAGAAGGGATATCTCACAAGACTAGACCATTGAAGAATTTGAAGATTAGGTCCTTTTCTTCACTTTGGAGCGGAAGTTAATTTTGACCTACTCTTTATGACGTAATCAAAAGGGTGGGTTAAAGCTCGTTGGGCAAATGAATGGGAATATATTAGTTGAATCTTATTCAAAATAAACCATATTAAATGGATGATAGGATATTAAGGTAAAATTTAGATAAGCTAGCATAAGATAAAAGTTCTAAATATTTTAAAGTCTTGTCATTTGCACCTTAGTTTTAATAAACATAAATAAAATAGTCTTATGTCTAATGTAGTGATACTTATTTATGACTTGGACTAAGTCTTTATAAAAAAAGACAAAAGTAGATGTGGTCTTTTTAGATAACCTTTAACCAGATAAACATTATTGTTAAATGTAATCTTTCATATAAGCTATATGATTATATCTTTAACAAACAACTCCAATCTTTATAGAAAAAGATCAAGAGAAGAGAAGATGTTCAAGAAATTCTCTAATTTGGTGAAGAGTCAAAAGCTTGCATCATAGAAAAAAAAAGTAAGAAGACAACAAGTCATATGATGCTAGAAGAAAGTCATGACCCTTTAAGAAAGGTATTCATGTGAAACAAACTCTATAAGCACACATTTTCAATGATCTTTTAAATACTTATATAAGGAAAACACTACCTTGCAAGAACATTGATGAAACACACATTTTCAATGATCCTTTTAAATACTTATACAAGGAAAACGCAAGAACATTGATGAATTTAGTAAGGCAAATTCATGAGAGACATCATCAATGTTACAAGTCCATGTAAAAAAATGTTGAAGTCATAAGTGCACTAATAATAGTTCGTTGTCAAATGATTAACTTAAACAAGAAATTATAACCATGAATCCTTCACCTATGCATGAAGAAAATATTTAAGAGGAAGGAAGATTGTATATTTTTATCCACTTTAAAAAGTGTGAACCTTGCATCAAACAACTAGTATAGTCATCAATCAACTTTTAACTTAGCCTTGAGATTTTTTTTCTTTTTCTAGAGAAGTCTTTTGTGCTTAAATAGCAAGGGTAACCAGTGAGATAGAAAAGAAGTTAAACATAAAAAATTATAAACCATCTTAACAATTCAATATGAAAAATCTAAAATGTAACAATTACATGAACTTAAAAATTAAATCAAACTAATTAAATACTAATTTTATAAAGAAAGATCTTAGCAAAAATAGTGGTACAAAATGATAGTAGAAGAAAGGCTTAATACCCTATTTTGTCCCCAGTTCGCTCGAAAATGTCAAATTAGTCCATCCTTTAAAAAATGCGTCAATTACGTCCTCACTTAATAAAATTTGCATCAATGAAATCCCTTCCGTTAAATCCGCACAAACGGCGTTAATTATTTTTCTCTCTTGTTAAGTAAAGTCGTTTGTACGGATTTAACGGAAGAGATTTCATTGATGCAAATTTTATTAAGTGAGGACGTAATTGACGCATTTTTTAAAGGATGGACTAATTTGACATTTTCGAGCGAAACTGGGGACAAAATAGGGTATTAAGCCTAGAAGAAACAAGTTAAAAGTAAGAGAGAAAACAAAACAATGGTTAGAACAAAATGAGTAGCACAAATTTGTGAGAAATGATGACGTGATGTGGCCTGAGGCGTAGTAAGAGTGTGATATGGTGTGGGAAAGAATCTAGATGGGAAGCAATGGGAGAGAAAATTGCAAAAATAATAAGAAAGATGGAAAAACCCTAATTAAGAGAAGACAACCTAAGAAAATTTCATGATAAAATTACAATTTTAGACGTGTAATATCTACTGTACGGATAGTATGATATTTGTTCTCAAAACATAACTCAACGGATACTAATATAATTGTTATCTGTGTTAGATCTACCAAGAGTAAATTTAGTCAGTGTATTAGTTAGATATTCAATTTTTTCAATATGAGCATGACAATCTTTACAATCCTTCTCAACAACTTTAATTTCAAATTTAACATTTATAGCAGATTGTAAAGTTTTGTCAAGTTCAATTTTTAGCTTATCATTTTCTTCAACAATGTTATTGATTCAGTATTCAAAATCTCTTATTTCAGAGTTTAGTCGATTAACCTTATATTGAAGTTTCATTGCTTCATTATGGAGTTCCTGAAATGCATCCAACAGTTGATAGTATTTGTCCTTAATAGGCTCATCTTCGAAACTGATGTTGCTTTCCGAGTTAATTGATCTAGCCACGAGACACAAATTCGTCTCCTCCTCTAGGCTTTGGTCATCTTCATCACTTGAAGATCCTCCTGAATCACAGTCTTCCCATGCTATGTATTCTTTGCTTATTCTTCCTTCTGTCTTGATTGTGCTTCTCATCAGCTTTATGCTTCATCTTCAAATCTAGATAGTCAGGTTTGATGTGTCCCTCCTTTCCACATTCATAACATGTAAAAGTTGTAGATTTTCCTTTCTTGTTGCCTACTCTAGAATTGCCTGCAAATTCAGATACAATATTTCTATTTTTCATGAACTTAGTAAATTTTTTTACCATCATGTTCATCACTTCTTTCTTTGGAATGTCTGTATCAGAATCATCATCATATTCATTTCTCCTGGAGGCTTTCTTGTTGATCGCTTTGAGAGTTATAGAATGTTTTTGTTAAGATTCCTCTTCCTCTTTCAGTCTTTCCAACTCCAATTCATATTCTCTGAGTTTCCAAAAAGAGTAGCCATATTCATATTAGTAAGATCTCTTGATTCAGATATGACTATTGTTGTCAGCTTCTATTAAGACTTTTCAAGATCTTTATGTTGATCTCTTATTTCTCAAATACTTTGCCAAGTGCAATCAAATGGTTTATTATGTGGGTGAACCTTTTCTACACATCATAGATATTCTCTCCAGCCTTCATCCTGAACATCTCGCATTCTTGGATTAGAGAATTCTTTCTAACTCTTTTTACCTCATCAGTCCCTTCATGAGTCACTTCTAGGACTTCCCTCATTTCCTTTGCACTTTTGCACGTTGATACCCTGAAAAACTCATCAATGGTAAGTGTAGAAGAAATAACATTTCTAGCTTTTATATCATATTGACCCCTTCTATTTTCCTCTTGATTCCACTCAGAAAAGTTTTTCAAAATAGGTTTTCCATCAACTAATATTGTAGGCTCAAAAGGACCATTAATCAACATCTCATACGCCCTTATCTACAGATTCAAGAAAAATTCTCATTCTTATTTTCCAAAAAGGACAATTTTCTCCCGCAAACAGAGGAGGTCTGTTTGTAGAAGCACCTTCACCAAAGTTTGAGAAACAGAGGCCATCAAGATCAATTAATCAATTTCACAAAAAATGTAATCGATTATTTTTTGAGTAATTTTCGAAAACCAGCTCTGGTGTCAATTGTAAGAAAATAAATGGCTAGTTTCTCTTACCAAGGGGAGGAGGGGTTGAATTGGTGATCAATAAAAACAATTACTTTTCAATCTTTTCGCAAACTAAGAATGATCTTTAATCTATCTTGAAATCCAAGCAATAAAGTGCATGCAATGAAAATAAAAGAGATAAGATATAATAGGTTCGACCTTAATGCCTACATCCAGTGTCCTTTCAATCAACCTGAGATTGAAAGCCAATTGCACTATAAAGATATGAGTTTTTACAATAAGGCTTTACAGAGACCACCTCTCAAATGTAACCACCTCTCTAACTCACTAATCTAATATAGCCAACAACACAATCATGTAGCAAGAACAATCTTCTTCTGCAGTCACCCTTTGAGACACCTCTCAAAGTTCAAAGAACTCCTCGCTCTTCTTCCTGGTCGAACGCACAGGGAACCACACAATCCAAGATTGCAAAAAAAAAAAATATGATCAGTCAAGAGAACACCTCAATAAGTCAATAGTTGATCAGTAGTGAAAACCCAAATATGTTCTTCAAGAATCCTTCAAGGTAATCAACTCTTGTGTATCTTGTTTCTTGGAGCGTCTCAGCACATTTGTATCTCTTTTATAAATTCACAAAGTATTAGATATGAAAGTTTAGAATGATCAAAAGTCTATAGAGCAGTGTGCAATGCGTCAATTTATAGTTTTCTCATAACAGACGCAATCTAATCGATTACTATAATAATGTAATCGGTTTTACATTAGTAATAGAGTTACACCTAAAAAACATTCAAACATATTTAAAAGATTAGGCACATAATGTAATCGATTTACTATATCATGTAAGTCAAAACATATAAAAATATGACCGTTGAGACAGTTAAGACTTGTCAACAAACATTTTTCAAAGTATAAAAAACTTAACTGATTACATAAAATGTGTAATCGGTTAAGTACAACAGTTAGGCATTTTGAAAACATTTTCAACACAAAACTCATCACAACACATTTCAAAAAGATGTTTGCAAAAACACGAGTTTTAATCAATTTTACACTAATGTAATCGGTTAAAATTTGTTGTTTTACTACAATTTAAAACATAAGCTATCTCATGAACTTAATTGATTACAACATCATTGTAATCGATTATTTCATATAGAGTTACTTTGTGCTTGTGGTTTTATCACACAAAACATTTAGTTTGCATACAATAGATATAAATCCAATTATGATCATAGAAGTATGCAGACGAGACAACATATCATCATATGTATCAATCATAAAGAAACATTTACATACCAACACATGTGTTAATCACAAATGCACATTTATGTTGTTTTTATGAAAACATATATGTGTTGTTACAATCAATGTGTTGTCATCATAAAAAGCCAAACACATCAGGGATTGAGTTTAACACTTATATTGCTCCCCTATCAACATGCACCCGTCAGAATGAAGCGGGTGAAATGGAAGTCTTACTAAAATGGCAACAACTTTCTGAGAGTGAAAATAACTAGGAATCTATAGACGTCATCACCAAAGAATTTCTAGAGTTTCACCTTGAGAACAAGGTGAAACTTCAAGGCCATGGTATTAATAGGTTCCATGGAACTTCAAGGGCGGGGTATTAATATTCTATCAGTTTTTTGTTGATCTTGTTGCCAAGCCGTGTTGCCAAGCTGGGATACAGAGCTGGGATGCTAAGCAAGGTTGCCGAGTTGGGATGCCAAGCAGATTACCGAGTTGGGATGTCAAGCTTATTAGAAGTAGAAAACATACCCTCTTACATTTGTAACCTTGTAAAACATACTAGTATAAGTAGTTTGTGTCTAGGTTATTGGTAGTGTCAATTTTCGAAGTTTAAGGGGAAAATGGGTGGGAGAGTTTAGGTCCTTTCGAAAGACTTGTTTGTTGAAAACATCTGGGCGTTCTATCACAATGGTTATAACCAAATGAGTAGCATCTGTTTGTGAGAAACAATGATGCCACTATACCTTGCGGTGAACTATTTGCAACAAGAGTGTAATGTGGTGGAGAAAATCTAGACAACGAGAGAAATTCAGAGGAGAAATCACCTAATAAATAGAAAGATGAAAAACCTAAATGAGAACAGAGGATAACTAATACAAATTCAGGATAAAATTATAATTTTAGATGGATAACGAATCACGATGCATACAGATAATATTATACTCGTCCCTCATTCGTAATTGAACGAATATTAATGTATCTTTTACCCACTTATTAATTTAATGTTATTAAATTTATAAAAAATATATTCCTAAAAAATTAATTATAAAATAATGGATATAAAATTTAAAAGATAAAATAATTATATTAATAAAGATAAAATCAACAATAAAATGTGTATAAAAAAACTATTGCAATTATAAAAAAGAATTCCTTTATATTAGTAGATAGAAAATTTAAATATAAAAAGTTATATTAATAAGAATAAAATCAAAATATTTAGGTTTAATACATATTTTGATCCCTATTTTCGTCAATTTCATTGAAAGTGGTCATCGACTGTTTCAGACTTTTAAGGTGGTCCCAATTTTTGTTCAATTTAGTCTTTTTTTCGTCTAAATTGTTAATGACACAATATCCACGTGAGGTGAATGACGTGACTACCATTTTGTCTAACGTGGTTGCCATGGCAGTGAAACAATTAGGGTTTTCTAGTTCATGATTTGGCTTTCCATGGCGGTGTGAAGATGGATTTCTTGTTGCAACGATTTAGTTTGAAATTCTCTGGTCTAGTTTGGGGATTATGTTTGCAGGTGCCTGATGTAAGGGTTTCGTGGTTCTTGATGCTTCCATGGTTGATCACGATAATGATTCACGAGTTGGGTTTCACGGCTATGCGAATTTGTGGTGGTTGAATAAAAATGGTGCCTTGTCGTGGTTGATTCAAGTTGCAATGATGGAGATGTTGGGTTTCATTTTCAATTTGTGGTCTTTGACTTTTTGATTTGTAGGTTCAAACTCGCAATGATGTTTTGTATAGAGGAGGCACAAAATATGTTGTTAGGGTTTCGTCGTGATTTTTGTTGGTGATGCGAGGAAGTGGTGGCTAATAAAGGTTTCTGTAGTGGTTCATGGTTGTGCTGTTGGTGACGTCGAAACTTATATCCACGGTCTTCGTCTGGGTGGTTACCTCGTTCTGGACGGATTCCGACGGCGGTTGTAGATCCGGCGTCTTTTGAGCAAGTAGCTCGCCTCGTTTCAGGATTTTGACCTGGCCCATGACAAGCTGCTGCGGGTGGTGTTTCTGAGGCTTGGCGTGTTGGGCCGGGCCGCGGGCGTCTTGTGGGACTGGATCGGCCCGCTTCTTGCGGCTTCGGGAACTCCGCTGGAACTTAGGGTTAGGGTTGGAGAGTTTCATGTTGGGAAAGTTTGGGGGTATGGTTTGGTAATGGTTGGGTGGTTTGTTTGCGAGAAAATCCTGCGGATGAAGTACTGCAACGTCCATCTGGGAGAAAAATTGAAGCAAAGCAAGAGAAGTGCAGAAGAAAACGAATGGTCTGGAGAGAAGATAAGAATATGATTGGAGAAGATTTAAGAAGAAGAAGAAGAAGAGAGTAGTTGAAAATTCAACGAGTGAAGAGATGTTAGGGTAAAAGGCTTTTATGTGAGCGGAGGCGGCTTAGGGTTAGAAGTGGAAAAGTAGAAGAGGGGTGCTTCGAAGTTATTATAGAAACACTCTCACTCTCACGCGTGACCGTTGGAGCCACGTATTTTTGTTCGGTAAGATTTGTTCAAATGGACGCGGTATTCTTTATATCTTTGTATGGCGCGTGGGACTGGGTTGGGGATTTGGAAGGTCAAGGAAGACGTATTCAAATAAAAATCTTTTTTAACCTTTTTCGGGTACCAAAACTAGAAAAATATAAAAGCGTGGGATATGTGATCGTATGCTTTTTCTATTGTTTAATTGGTGTTACAGAACGTGGTACACGTGGCAGACGATGTGAGGGTAACACAGGATATAATGATGCAACGTGAGGTGATAACCGACATGGGTTTAAGGTTATATTATATTAGTTTCTATCTTAAAAAAAATAATCATACTTTAACAATATTCTTTTATCACATTTTAATATTATTTATATATTAATTTAAAATTATTTTACAATCAATAATATTAACTATAAATATCAACATAAATCAATAACAATAGATAATATTAAAATATTATTAAAATATCCTTATTTTTAAAAGAAATATGTAAACTAATTTTGAGTGGATTTTTATTTAGTTATTTAAATTGAAATAATTTAAAATATAATAGATTAAAAATATATCTACAATCCAAAATATATATGCTCTCAAATAATAACGTTACATTAAATTTTAAAAAAATATTTTAAATTGTATCTATAATTATATAATTAATATATGTATTTTTATAATATATATTCTAAATATATAATATATATATATCTCCTATATATCTCTATCGCATCATCTCCTCCTCTCTTCTCTTCTCTCTATCTCATCTATCTCTACATCTCCACCTCCTCCTTCTATCTATCTCTCTTCTTTACCTCAATCCTTTATTTTTATTTATTAATTTAGATCAATTTTTAAGTTTTTCATGCATGTACTATAAAGTCTAAATTAATATTCAACTCCTTCTATATATGTTGTACACTATAAATACATAAACTTTTTAAAATAATAAATTACTTCCAATTTCATACGTTTAATTTTCCGTGACAATAAATTTAAATTAAGATATATTTTGAATGAATTATTGTAAAAAAATAAATTTTAATTTTTTATTTATTTACAGCAATAAATATATATTTTAGAAAACAAAAAGTTATTTATGTGAAAAATTAATTTAAACAAATAAAATTATAATTATTGTAATTTCATAGGAAACATATAAAAGCAAAAATGGTATTGAAGTTGAATATTTCATTATAAATGTTATAAGTAACAAAATTAATGCCAACACCTTTGATACAACATAGCAATTTAGACTAAATTGAGAAAATATTTGAAAGACTCAGTCTGAACCAATTTGGACTTTTATATATCTTTTGAGTTTTTTTTTTAATATGGATACTCTCAGAAAAAGATAGTCATCTGTTGAGTAAAATTTCAAAATCTTAAAAAACTAAGAGTGTTAGATGGCTTTATTCAACACTAAACAAAATCTTATAGATATTTGAATTATTAGAGAAATACAAATAAAATTATTCTATAAAATCCAAAGAATCCTAAACTATATCTTCTTCCTATACTACATCCTTGTACTATCTATCGTGAGACAGTCAGCATCTTCTTCAAGCAAGCCGCAAATCGCAATCTGCAACCTCAAAAGCAACTTGGAAAAACCCTAACCGTGCACCCAGAATGCGAGAACCTCTAACCCTAGCCACCCAACCAAACATGAAGT